TACATGGCAGCTCACAGCTGTCTGTAACTCCAGTTCAGGGGACTTGACAGTCTCACACAGACAAAACACCAGTAAAATAAAAATAAAAAGAGTTCTCTATTGCATTTTTTACTGCAGCTTTCTCTCTATTGCTAATTACAGCCAATATTTGCTGAGCACTTCTCTGTGTCCATCACTGTCCCATGATTTGACATATTCACAAAGATAGCATATAATAAACTATATATTTACAATAAGCACATAGTTGTCTTAGCTTCTTTTGCTGTGATAAAATACCCTGGCAAAAGCAACCTTAGGGGGAGAAGTGTTTGACTCCCATTTCCAGCTTACAGTCAGTCCATCCCTGCAGGAAGTGAAGGTGGCAGGGATTTGAAGCAGCTAGTCACATTCTATCCACAGTCAAGAGCAGAGAGCAATGCAGCCAAGTATTCCTCCAGTTTGAGACAGGAACTTACTTGGCTGGTCTGGAACTTGGCTGGCCCTGAACTAAAAGAACTTGAGAGGAAAAGGAGGGTTTTTTGTTTTGTTTGTTTGTTTTGTTTTGTTTTTCGAGACAGGGTTTCTCTGTGTAGCAGCTTTGGCTGTCCTGGAACTCACAGAGATCCTCCTGCCTCTGCCTCCCCAGTGCTGGGATCAAAAGCTCGCATCACCACTGCCTGGCAAGAAGGCTAACTCTTTTCAGTATCAGCACTCTTGAGGCAGAGGCAGACAGCTTTCTCTTTAAATTCAGGACCTCAGGCCCAGCAAATGCTGCTGCCCACAGTGGGCACATAATTCTAAACATTCTCTGAGGTCCTTCTACCAGGTGATTCTAGATTTTTGTCAAATTCATAGAACTATCACAATTGTCAGTAGGGTATTTCTACACTGTGTAATGGATAAGTGATATATTACTGCTTATTTTAAAAATATAAACATTCAGACCCAGTCTGGTGGCTCCATCTGTTCTATAGCACTTAGAAGGTTGAAACAAGATTGTAGGTTTAAGACCAGCTCAGGTCTTTAATCCCAGCAGTTGGGAGGCAGAGGCAAATCTGTGAATTCAAGACCAACTTGGTCCAGTCTACATAGTGAGTTCCAGATCAGCCAAGGGCTACACAGTGAAATCCTGTCTCCAAAAAAAAAAAAAAAAAAAAAAAAAAGTTGAAGACTAGAGACTGGAGCCGGGCGTTGGTGGCGCACACCTTTAATCCCAGCACTCGGGAGGCAGAGGCAGGTGGATCTCTGTGAGTTCGAGGCCAGCCTGGTCTACAAGAGCTAGTTCCAGGACAGCCTCCAAAGCCACAGAGAAACCCTGTCTTGAAAAACCAAAAAAAAAAAAAAAAAAAAAAAGAAGAAGAAGAAGACTAGAGACTGGAGAGATGGTTCAGCAGAGTACCCAGGTTCAATTCCAACCATCCATAACTTCAGTTCCAGGCGTTCCAACTCATCCATCTGATAGCCACAGGAACTGCATGCACTTGGTACACAAACCTACATACCATCAAATCATCCAACCACAAAATAATCAGTTTCTTAAGTTCAGGGTAACTCCAGGTATTTCAGGGCCTGCCTGGACTACCCTATCTCAAAAACAACAAAGTAGACTAGAGAGGTGGCTCACCGGTTAAGAGCAAGCATTGTTCTTCAAGGGGCCTAGTTCAGTTTCTGTCACCAGTAACTCCAGCTCCAGGGGAGCCAGGGGTTTGGGCCTTCATGGGCACCTGCACCCCCATGCACAACCCCACATGTAGATGCACATAAAGACACAGCTGGAGATGAGATCCACTGTAGAGCGCTGGCTCAGTACCTACAGGGTCCTGGATTTAGTTCCTAGCACTACATATATAGCACACACCTTTCTCAAAAACTAGATAGATGTAGAAATTTTGTTTAGTTATGAGAAGGTTTTGCGCATGATAGGCAACCATTCTACTACTGAGCTATCTATATCCACTGGAAAAAAGATGTGAACTTATATACCAGGTTTTTATGTGTGTGTTACTTCTTGAGACTGGTCTTGAACTGTATGGCCTTGAACATTTTGTTTTGTTTTCTCAAGACGGTTTCTTTGGCTGTTGTGGAACTCACCCCAACTCACAGAATTCCACCTGCCTCTGCCTTCCTGAATGCTGGGTTTAAAGGTGTGCGCCACCACATCCCTGTGACTTTTGACTTTTAATCTTCAAGCCTTCACTTCCAGGGTGGAGGAATTACTCACATTTTCCACTTTAATCCATTTTCCATTAACCATGCAGTTCAAACACCAGAACTGAGAATTATGCTGTCAGGCCAGAGAAATGGCTCTGGAAGTATGGGCACTGACAACCTGAGTTTGACCCCAGAAATGCACACAGTGGAAGGAGAGAATTGGCTCCCCCAAGTTGTCCTATGATCTCTACACAAGCATTATTGTACATATACCCACCTACATACACACTCAAAATATTTTTAAATTGTTTAAAAATAACTATGACAAGTTTATCATCATGTATCTTTTTCCTGAGCCACTCAGTTCCTACCGCCTGTCCCCAAAAAGGCAACTAGTTACCAGTTAGTTGCCTTGTAACTAGTTACCAGTTAGTTGCCTTATAAGGTAAGTAGTTACCAGTTAGTTGCCTTATAGCCTTCAAAAAAGGTAAGTATTTACAAGCAGATATGCGTGTTTCCCCCACCTCCCTTTTATGCATGGTGCAAATATAATATTCTTTGTTGTTGGAATTTTTTGCATTCAACACATTTTAAAGTTTTTCCATATATGTGTGTGTATTATATATATATACTAGTTTTTCTCATTGCATATTTTAAGTTATGAAAGTGTCTCACAGTAACTGGGTTATTGAAGTCTTTTGCAATTATCAGCATTGCTGTAATAAACTTGAACATACATTGTATGGGTGGGGAAAGTGTCCCTGAGGCTGAACTACAAAAGGAATACCTGCTTCAAAGATCACAGGACTTTTATGTTGTCAGATCTAAGAGTTACTTTCTTAAATATATAATCCTCAAACTAAGACTGCTTTCTCAAAAACCTGTATACTATGAAGATATTTTCTCAAGTTTTAAACATTGTTCCTGCAAGTACAGGCAAGAGTCAGACGCGGTGGTTCACACCTATCATTCAAATTCGTGGAAGGTTGAGGCGGAACAACTGTCTCACAGTCAAGGTTAGCCTTGGCTAAAGAGACCCTGGGGGGTTCAGAGATGGCTTAGCAGTTGAGCACAAATACTGCTCATGCACAGGACTCAAGTTCAGTTATTAGCATCTACACCTGGTAGCTCATAACCACCTATAACTCTTAGCTCCAGAGGGATTTGCCATCTCTTGCTCCTGACAGTAAGTATATTCACAAACACATACCCAAATGCATATGTGCTCACACACAATTTTAAATAACTAAAAATGTTTTTTAAGTCTTGGCATACAGATCTTTTAAGTTCTAGGTCAGCCAGTGCTACATAGTGAGACCCTGTCTAAAAATAAAGGTCTTTTTCTTTTATAAATTTACAGATTAAATTACAAAATTGTACACAAACATTCTAAAGTAAGTATTGTGAACCAAGTTGACAATCTCTGCTGCTTGTCCCTTATCTAACTTTGGAAAGAAGAATGGATATATATATGAAATATCTCAAGTTAATCTGAAGTTAAAAGCAGTGGAGAGCCATTGAGTCCTTAAACAAGACTTGTATGAAAAAAATGTTATGAGCAGAACAGGGCATGGTAGTGCGTATTTGTAATCCTAGTACTTGGGGTGTGTAGGCAACAGGATGAGGAGTTCTAGGCCAGCTTGAGCTAAATGAGTCTGTTCAAGCAAGAAAGGAAGGGGGTTCTATGATACACAGTTTTGTCAGTATTCACTACATATTAGGAAGCCAGCACTGAGGTAGGATGTGAAGAATAACAATAGTGAGAAGAGAGCAGAGCCGGGTGTGGTAGCACATGCCTTTAGTTCTAGCATCGTGAAGGCAAAATCGGGGTTATTTCTGAGTGTGAAGAACAGCCTGGTTCTACACAGAGTGAGTTCCAGGATAGCTAGGGCTACACAGAGAAACCCTGTCTCAACAAAACAAAACGAATACACACATGAAAGAGAAAGAAATAATGCAGAGAAAGAAGTATGTTTGGTTTTGAGTCTCTCTTAATTCTATTAACTACCATCTATGTTTCCAATTTTCCCTCCAGTCAACCCTTGCAGGCAGGGCCAACTCTGATTTATTTGTATGTTTCACGCACCCAGCATAAGATTGTATACAATGTAGATGCTCACTCCGTGCTAAAAATATATTTGGCAGTCATTTTGTTTATCTGTTTTGTATATGTGTCAAGGAGTACACGTGGAGGTCAGGGTCCTCTGCACAGGCAGAGGCAGGCGGATCTCTGTGAGTTCGAGGCCAGCCTGGTCTACAGAATGAATTCCAGGACAGCCAGAACCACACACAGAGGAAACCCTGTCTTGAAAAAAATTTTTTCTCCTACCATGAAGACTCTGAGCATGAAACTATGATTGCCTCAAAAAAAAAATGCACGTTACGGGATTTAGCTAAGCCTTGTTGTGTAATCTCTGCCTTCGGGAGGGAGAGGCAGTAGGACAAGAAGAACCTGCCTGAAAACAAAACCTCTCCAGATGAAAAGGAAAGTTAACAAACAAAACGAAAACAAATAAATCCTGTCTCCTCTTCTGCCCCCCAGCCTGGCCCCCACATCAAGCTGGGCCTAGTGAGCCAAGCATTTGGGAAATGGAGACAGGAGGAGCCCGATTTTACACCGGCCTGCGCAACATATCTAGTTCAAGTCCAACTGCTGTGGCTGTAGCTCCAGGGGTGGAGGCTTGCTTAGTACATGCAAGGACCGAGGTTGATTCCCAGAAGAAAAATAAAAACAACAACAAAAAAAACAAAGTCACGGTTTCCTGTCCCTTTAAAAATGGCGGTCCTGCACAGTAGAACGATATCATTGGGTGCACAAGTCGTGGGGGCGGGGTTAGGGGCGGGGCATATGGTGGCGCCAGTGGTTCCACCTCCTACGGCAAGTCGGAGGCAGCAAGATGGCGGCCGCTGAAGAAGGTTGCGATGTTGGGGTCGAAGCGGACCGGGAACTGGAGGAGCTTCTGGAAAGTAAGAGCCCATGACGGGAAAGGCCAGAGGGCCGGGGGCGAGGGCCACTGGGGGTTAAGGGGACTTGAGATTTGGGGCGGAGCGGGAGACTCTCCAATGGTTGGCGGGGGAGGTGTCTGACTTCGACCCCGGCCGTCATTAGTGGGAGCTGTGTGTTCACCTCGGTCGCTGATCAGACTTGCTTTAGAGTGTCGGATTGTTTTTGAGGCTGGCCTTGAACTCCCGACAGTCTTCCTGCCTCAGCTTCTGGGACTGCTGAGATTACAGGCTGGAAACGCCAGGACTGTCATTAGTAAGTTATTGAAATCTCCTCTCCTGTCAGTAGCAACATTCCCAGAACAGGAAAACTCCAAGGGTCCTTATGTCTGTCGTAGTATCTTTCTTAACTCCTTTTACCTCACAATCTTTCCTATTCTTTACCAGGCCCTTAGTTCTTTCGTGTCAGTAGTTCAAGGAGACTACTTCTAAGATTATTGTTGGTTTGAGAGACTGTCTCATGTAGTCTAGGTTGGACTCAGACTCGGGGATGGCCTTGAACTTGTGACTTTTCTGGCCCCTGCCTCTCCATGCCAGCCTGGCACCACCATGCCTGACTTTGGAGAAACTGACAGTGAGCCATCCTCCTGAAATGACGGTGGATGTTTATTCCTCTGGCCCTCTACCCTGGTTCCCTGCCCGGAGTGAGGCCAGTGCACTTCACCCGCCCTGGCAAGCAGAGTGGTGGCTTTAAGGGCAGAGGTGAACCTTTCATCTGGTGCTCAGTCACAATGATGTGGGCAGGGAGAGAATGAACAGATTTAGTGAGGTGTGGTAAGTAACTCCGTCGGCCCAGGGTTACTACATATAAGGCCAGGGGGAACTAAATTGAACAAAATTTAAGATTTTAATACCATCCTGTAGGACATGTGGAGTTTGTACTAATAGTAGGACCCATGGGAAGCTGGGTGGGATATTCTTACAAGAGGATATTGCTTTTAATGCCTCAGAGTGAGTTCAAAGAAATAAACCTGTCTCTCCCCTCTGTTCATGTTAGGTAACTGATTTTTAGGGAATTTTATAGTATGCATATAGAGATTTCTCTGCACAACTTATTTAATCCATTCCCTCCTAGTTCTGAGATGAACACTGGTTCTATGTAAAGGGTTTTCTTGCCAGTTGGTCACAATTAGTTAGGTGATTCCCAAGGAAGGTGGGAAACCTGTTTGTTGATGAGTGGACCAGGCAGGAGAGATGCCAGGAAAAGAGAGAGAAGTTCAGGGAAGCTGGCATTTCTTTGATTATTTTCCTGATAGTTTGCTCAGAATCGCAGCCTGCTAGCCTTATCCACCCCCAACATACCCACCATGTCTCTTGTTTCCAAAGGTGCTCTTGATGATTTCGATAAAGCCAAACCCTCCCCAGCACCCCCTCCTACCACCTCGGCCCCTGATGCTTCAGGGCCCCAGAAGAGATCGCCAGGAGACACTGCCAAAGTATAAATCCCACCCCCTTAAGGGAGGGGGGTTGGGCATGCAGGTCAGAGCAGGGGTGGGGCGGGCCCCTGTGGGCTGGAAGGGTGGGTGGGAGGGTGCCTTTGCCTCTCGCTCTTCCAGGCCTCAGTTCATGGGAAACAAAGACCTAGAGTTGCACTGAGGGATACCAAGGAAGCACCTTGAGAAAAGAGCAGTTTTAAGTGGCTGCATTTGTATGATAGCTCACGCTTTTCCTTCAGTGGCCAGATTTTTTGCTTGCTGCCCTCCCGAGAAGAGGCAGACAGAATGTTCAGTGGAGGTGTTTGTGGGGCCCAGCACTATTAACTGAGCTCCTATAGAAGGCTAGACTCAGAGTGGTGTTGTAAGAGGTGAATTTTGTCCACCTCTCCCCTGCAGGATGCCCTCTTCGCCTCCCAAGAGAAATTTTTCCAGGAACTGTTCGATAGTGAGTTGGCGTCCCAAGCCACTGCAGAGTTTGAGAAGGCTATGAAGGAGCTGGCTGAAGAAGAGCCCCACCTGGTGGAACAGTTCCAGAAGCTCTCAGAGGCAGCTGGGAGAGTGGGTGAGGAAACCCCAAACAGAAAATACGGGACAGACCTCTTGATTGCTTGAGAATACCAGGCTTGTAGCGGTGATAACAATCATAATGTTACAGCCATGAGTGGGCCAAGGCAAGAGAAAGAAGTGTGGGAATCTGATCTTGCTTACTGTAAGAAAAGGTTAAGGTATTTTGGAAAGTAATAAAAAAAGATTATTTCAGCCAGGTGTAGTAGGATGGTCCTTTAATCTATGGACAAATGGATCTCTTACGAGTTTGAGGCCAGTCTGGTCTACATAGTGAGTTCTAGAACAACTAGACCTACATAGTAAGACCTTGTCTTAAAAGTAAGTAAATGAATAAGATTATCCCAACCCAGCCCTTTTAAAGGACAGTGTTGTGAGTGTTACCATGCAGAACTATTAACACATTATCTATATAGATTTATGGTATGACCATGAAGATGACCAAAAAGAATAGTTAAGATTTTAAAGTGTTAGTAGTTTTGCTAATAAATGCTTTATGTGCAGGCTGGTAAGAGGGTCAGTTTAGACAAGCTGAGTTAAAAATCCTAGGTAATCCTGGTTCTTTTCATTTCTCCTAGGCAGTGATGCAAACTCTCAACAAGAATTTACTTCTTGCCTAAAGGAGACATTAAGTGGGCTAGCCAAAAATGCCACTGACCTTCAGGTAACAAGAAGGAATGGGGGTCCACTCCCAGATGCTTCCTGAGCAGTCTCACAAAGTAGACGCTCTAGGGTATCTCCCCAAATCTGACCCTGCTTTGATTTTTGTTACAGGCACATCTAGATAGTTCTTTGCACCTAAAAGTGTGGTAAGCATTCCAGGAAGGCAGTGTAACCTGTTGGCCTCTCTTGTGTCTTGTCTAGAACTCGGGCATGTCTGAAGAGGAACTGACCAAAGCCATGGAAGGGCTGGGCATGGATGAAGGGGATGGGGAAGGGAACATCCTCCCCATCATGCAGAGCATCATGCAGAATCTACTGTCTAAGGACGTACTGTACCCATCCCTGAAGGAGATCACAGAAAAGGTTTGTGAGTTTCTCCTCACTTCATTGTACCAACCGTGGGCCACGTTGCTTAGACAGTGCATAGTAGAAGGGCAATTTAAGTGTACAGGTACATTCTTTTTTGTTTGTTTGTTTTTTGAGATAGGGTTTCTCTGTGGCTTCTGGTACTAGGTCTTGTAGACCAGGCTGGTCTCGAACTCGCAAGTACATTCTTTTTTTTTTTTTTGGTTTTTCGAGACAGGGTTTCCCTGTGGCTTTGGAGGCTGTCCTGGAACTCGCTCGGTAGACCAGGCTGGTCTCGAACTCACAGTGATCCGCCTGCCTCTGCCTCCCGAGTGCTGGGATTAAAGGCGTGCGCCACCAACGCCTGGCGTGCAAGTACGTTCTTTTAAACTCCTCTTTGTTTGTTGGAAGTAGAAGTTATTGAGGGAATAAAGGTACATAGGTAATCTGATCATATTTCCACACTGGGAGTGTCTGAGCTAGAAGAAATAATTCTTCAGCTTTAGTTTTCTCTAAACTAGTTCAAGACTCTTGAGTTTTACTAATCCATTCCTTCTTCTTGTATTTTTTTTTGGGGGGGGTTGTTTGTTTGTTTTTTCGAGACAGGGTTTCTCTGTATTGTTTTGGAGGCTGTCCTGGAACTCGCTCTGTAGACCAGGCTGGCCTCGGACTCACAGAGATCCTCCTGCCTCTGCCTCCCAAGTGCTGGGATTAAAGGCGAGCGCCACCAATGCCTGAATCCTTCTTGTATTTCTTAACTTTATTAATTTCTCCAGTAAGGATTCACAGGATTTTGTGGTAGTGTTATGAAAAATTTGAGAGTAGTTGAAATGATGGTCCCTGCTTGAAAAAGCTTATAGTTTCACTAGAGAAATATGTGACCGAGTAGGAAATGAGTGGCAAGACCAGGAGTCTGCAGACCAGTGTTCGTACAGCCTAAGTCCAACTCTCAAGCTAAGAGTAGTTTTTACATTGTTTTAAAAAGACTTATTTTTATTTCTATTTCTTAATTAGAGGTGTGTGTGTGCACATGAGTTCAGGTACCTATGGAGGCCACTGGCATCAGACCACCCTTGAACTAGAGTTACAGCTGACAGTGAGCTGCCTAACTTGAGTGCTGGCAATTGAACTTGAACTGGGGTCCTCTGCAAGAACAGTATATACTGTTATCCACTGAGCCATCTCCCTAGCCCTGGTTTTATATTTTTAAGTTTTAAACCAACAACAGGGCTGGAGAAAATTCAGCAGTTAAGAGCACTGGCTGCTCTTCCAGAGGACCTAGGTTCTGTCCACTTGGCAGCTCACAATGGTCTGTGGCTCCAGTTCCAGGGGATTCGATTCACTATTCCAGCTTCTGAGAGCACCAGACACACACGGTACATAGACATACATACAGGCAAAACATTGATACAAAAAACGCCATAGAATTTTTACAGCAACAGCACAGGTGCTTGTTAAAGAGCACTTGCTGCTCTTGCAGAGGACCCAGGTTTGGACCCAGCATCAACATGATGATTCATAACTATCCATAACTCCAGTTCTAGGGGATCTGACACTCGTTTGTGACCTTCAAGTGCACCAGGTGTGGACATGGTACAAATACATGCAGGCAAAACTAATCCACACAAAATAATAAATTAAAAAAAAAGAGAACAACTATGTCCAACACAGTCCCTATGTGACCCTTGTCCTAGTTAGCTGCAGCTGTCAAGTTTACATAGTCCAGAGTCATTGGAGGGGGTGTCAGTTGGAAAAACTGCCTGGATCAGACTGGACTATGGCTACGTATAGATGATGGTTGGTGTGGATGGGCATAGCCCACTGTGGTGGCACCATCCCTAGACAGGTGGGCTTAGGCTATAATTAGAAAGCTAAAAAACAAGCAAAAAAGTAAGCAAGTTGGCAGTATTCCTCCATGGCCTCTGCTTGAGTTCCTGTCCTCAGTGATGAACTGTTTCCTGGAAGTATCAGATGAAACCTGTTCCTCCCCAAGTGTTTTTGATGTTTTTTTTCCCTCAGCAACAGGAATGAAACTCGAACAATCATCAGAGCCTAAAATGATTACTTTCTTGCTTTTCACCAGACACAGTTTACTATCCAGGGGGTCTGTTGGAGTCAACAGTACTTAGTCCTTTTCACAATAGACTTGTTTAGCGTTTCTTTCCTCTTTGCCCTCCTCTTCCTCTCCTGTTCACTGAATTCTTTCCCACCCATTCCCTCTCTTCCTTTAGTACCCAGAGTGGCTGCAGAGTCACCAGGAGTCTATCCCTCCAGAGCAGTTTGAGAAGTACCAGGAGCAGCACAGAGTCATGGGCAAAATATGTGAGCAGTTTGAGGCAGAGACTCCCACAGACAGCGAGGCTACTCACAGGGCTCGTTTTGAGACAGTGCTAGATCTCATGCAGCAGGTAAGACCTTTCAGTGCCTTCCTACTGGTCCTGTCCACTTGGGTGTTGAATGGAGGAGACATCTGGAAAGGGTGCCACACAGCCTGGGTGGGGGGGAACACAAAAAGAAGAAACCAGATCACTAATCCGATTCCTTTTGTTGCTTTTTGTGTTGTTTTCTGTGATTTTTATTCTTTTTTGATTCATGTTCTTTTTATTTTCTAGTTACAGGACTTGGGCCATCCTCCAAAAGAGCTGGCTGGGGAGATGGTGAGCATGTCTTCTATATTTTAACCCAGTTCCCAGTTTGCAGACTCCAGTAATCCCTAGTTAATCCATAGAAGGTGATCATTGTAGCTGCTAGGGATGAACCTTCAGAAGCTCTGACCTGAAATATGAGTGGTTTTCTCAGTCTCTCCATCTCTTCTCCAGCCTCCTGGCCTCAACTTTGACCTGGATACCCTCAATCTATCGGGCCCACCAGGTGCCAATGGCGAACAGTGTCTGATCATGTGAAACACAGCACGTTTTCCTCCCTGATTCCCAGACATGGGGAACATCTGGAGTCAGCAGAGCCATTGGGAACTGAGGCAGGAGTATTGTCTCTGGGAGCTGGCTGCCCACTCTCTACATCCCATTCAAGACTGTGCCATACCAGCCACGGATCTGTTCTGCAGGCCATTTCTATGAACCTTACTCCATCATGTGTTCTGCTGTTAGAAACAGGCCAGTTCATTGCCAGGTGGAGGAAGGCAACCCTTTGGGGGCATTTCACTTCTTCCCATTCCCTCCAAAAATGTTATAGATGGCTGTACTCATGTTCCCCTTTCCGCCCAGGGATTCCGTGCCTTGTTTCTACTCCCTCTCTTGGATCTGGGGAGCAGGAGCTGAGTCCTAAGACTTCCTGTTTCTGTTAGGCAGGGCCTCTGGGAATGAGGAGATTTGTCGATTGCCCTGGGGCTGCAGATTTGTCAGCACATCTCCTTGCTTTCCTTTTGAACTCTCTGAGGGAAAGGAATTTCGCACTTACCTGTGGTCAGGTTAAAAGAGAAGCCCTTGGCTTCTCCTGTCCCTAGGTGCTTGTGCCCTTGATTCTCCTTTCTTCCTGAGGACTCTAGTGCTACCTTGGTTCTTTCAACAACTCTGGTCTGGGTGAACCCAGCTCTTGACCTTCCTTGACCCCTTGACTGTCCTCTTACCTCCTGTGTTAGTCTTATCTACTGCAGCCCTCTGAACCATGTGATTGATGGAAGCGAATCTTGTTTCCTTTCCTCTACTCCAGGACCATTCTCACTAGACCCCTCCCTTCCCTGGCCAAAAACACACAACTACAGTGCCAGAGCTGATAAATACATTCTGGCTTGCTTGAGACATCAGATTCCCTAGAATCCTTGGTTCAGGAAGGTGCTTGGGAAAGGGGTGCAGCCTGAGTCTTTTCCTGCAAGCCCCAGGGGACAGTATCTAATAAATACTCTGAGTACATGTGTGGGTTATTTTTCATCCAGGTCTGTTTCTAATCTTCCTGAGCTTCTATATGCTGCAGAGTGGGAAGTGTTAGGAGATAGTTCTGTGTAATGTTGTGCTAGGTTCTACCATGACCTCGCCCTCCAGCTCAGGCTGCCCTTCCTTTGGTAAAAGGATACTGTCTTTATCTCCTTGGTATTTCAGTCTTAACTTCTAATATTATAATATTATAATTGATGTTAATGATATATTGTTAACATGTTTTCTAAATTACCTAGGTTTAAATTGACCTCAGTAGGTCCAAGGACCATGGTTTGCCATATATTTTATGGATATTCATTTCAGCCCATCTAGCTGTCTAGTTCACGTGGAAAATAACTTTTAAAATATATAATTATTAATTTATTCTTTGAGAATTTTATACATGTATACAATGTATTTTGATCATAACCACCCCCCTGGAAATTAACTTTTGCAAGAACAAATTCACATTTATCGTTTTTTGTTTGTTTTGTTTTGTTTTTTTGAGACACAGTTTCTCTGTATAACAGCATTGGCCATCCTGGAACTAGCTCTGTAGACCACGCTGGTCTACACACACACATCTGGTTATAATCACTCTTACATATCGCACACATTCTGTGGAAGGAAATGTACTTGAGCTCAGGCTGTGGGGACTGTCCAGCTACCACAGCTCGTCACACAGAAGACTGGGGGTCTGAATTTGAGACTCCTCCATGCTCTAAGAAAGGAAAAATGTACAAACTGATTTGTGATGATGACTGGGGCCTGAATTGCCAATAACTTACTGACATTCTGCAAAAGCTTGACAGGTCTAGGTGAGGAGACAGGAATAGGATGACCTGCCCTTGGAATTGTGTTCAGTGGTATGCTATCTGTTCTTTAGTCTCACTTCTGGTGGTGCTGCCATGGTCCACCATGACTCTATTTCCAAGGCATTCCTTTTATTTTTATTTTGCTTGAACATGAAATACCACTTGAATTATTCTGGGACCGAATAAAACCTGGTGTCCTATGGCAGTCCTCCTCAAATTATGTGTGGTAAAGGACCAGAGATTTTGGCTTTAAGCATCTAGTCCCTCATGTATCAATATTCAGGTGAGCCTGTTGACAACTTGCCATGTAAATTTGAAAACACCTGGACTGTCTAGACTCCACTAACAGGTTAAACCCACTGGTCATGTAATTGTATTTCACAGCATTATCAAATGCTAGTTTTTAGACACTATTTCTGGTACCTAATGTCACAAGTTGATACAGTGATTAAAACAAAACAGCTTTGTGGGAATAACAGTGTTCTTGACTTTCCTTAGTCTCTCCTTAGGCCCTAGGCAAGTGTATACTTACATATTGGAAGACCTTTCCCATGTGTCACCTGTGGAGACTTGGTTTTTAAGCAAAACAAAAAACAAACAAACAAAAATCACGATATGGATATTTAGCACGTTTTCTAACTTGCTTTTCTTTCTTGATAACTAAAAATAACCATTGCATAGCTTATGTTTAGTGAAGTAGTTAAGCTGTTCTCAAAACTTACAAGAGCTGCTTTTCCAAAATTCTGTATGTTTGGGTAACAAATTTGTGACTGGATAGATGACTTCATGAAACATGAGTCTCAAATTCATGCAAGATGTATGATGAAGTCCTCCGATGATTCTAGAACATGCTCTCAATGAGGCCCCACAGGCTAGACCTAGGCCGTCAGGAAGCTTAGGGAGCTTGGAGAAAAATAACCCACATTAAAAAAAAATAGCAATCTGACATTTAAAAAAAGTTTATAATGAATCTGATGTGTTTGTGTGTGCTGGGCGTCTGATCCCCTGGACTGGAGTGGTTGTAAACCACCAGATGTAGATGCTGAAGCTGAACTCTGGTTCTCTGAAAGAGCAAATAGCTCTTAACCACTGAGCCTCCCTCCAGCCCACATTAAGCAGACATGGCAGATAATACAGAAATGTGTAAAAAGGATTCAGGAAGTGGACAAATGTGTTTGCTGTAGAACTGAAAACTCATTGACCTCTGGAAAGCCAAGCAGCCCTTAACGTTTAGATGTGAAGTGGCAGCTTTTCTACAAGGGAAACAGCTTGGGTGGAGATTGCTAATAGAGCACAGGTGGTCTTGAAGCAGGACAGACAGGCAGCTAAGAAATATAAATAAGACCTTCAAAATTGAGGTCAAAGAAATGTTTTAAGTTTGCTCAGCATCTGAGTTATGAACAATTAATTGAAAAGTCCATTTAGTGATCAACACACTCAGGAAAGAACATCCGGAAAAAGTTGGAATGTAGTGTTAACTGGGGATTTGGTGGTCTTTAGACTATTTAGATTTTCATTTTTGTGGGGTTTTTTTGTTTCTTGCTTTTTTATTTTTTCTTGTGTTGGGTTTTTATTAGTGGAGAAAGGGATATAAAATTGGGTGGGTAGGCAGGTGAGGAGGATCTGGGAGGAGTTGGGGAAAGGGAAAACATGATCAAATATATTTTTTAAATGTTAGTAAAAAATACCTTAGGGAGCGGGACATTGTGGTGAATGCCTTTAATCCCAACACTTGGGAGGCAGAGGCAGGCAGATCTCTGTGAGTTCTAGGCCAGCCTGGTCTACAGAGTGAGTTCCAGGAGAGCCTCCAAAACAATGCAGAGAAACCCTGTCTCGAAAAACCAAAAAAAAAAAAAAAAAAAAACAGCAAAAAAAAAAAAACCCTTAGGGGCTAGTGAAATACCCTAGCTTTTTAGAAACCGGTCCTGAGGATTCTGATGTAATCAATGGAATTTTCATATACTGTATTCATAATATGATGGCATTATTGGGAGGTGGTAAAAGGGAGGAGGGGGTGGGGCCTAGTTGGAGGAAGCAGGTCACTATCTGCCCTTGAGGCTACATATCTGCTTGGCATCTTCCTACATTATCCCATTTCACAGCCTCTTGTTTGCCAAGAACAAGAGCAACCTCCTGCTTCAATGTCCTGCCTAAACACATGGAGCCAGGCAACCATGGGCTAAACCCTCTGAAATCATAAGCTAAAATAAAGAAAGGTGACTAATTGCAACAGATTCCCCCATTTAATCAGCTGGTTATTGTCACATCAAGTCATGAGGTTGGATAGATACAAGTGTGGTCCATCTTATTAGGTTGATGCAAAAGGAATTGTGTTTTGGACTGTGAATTTTAAGTCATTATAACTAGACTCAGACACATTAACCAAAATAGAAACCATTACAATCAACAGTCTTTGCCAATGAAGCATAAGATTGTTTATTTCTGTAGCATAAAACTCCATGCTTTGATTTGACAGTTGAATGTCTCCCCTCACAAAACCTGTTCCTGTTCCCCCACATGTACCTCTGTGAAAGCCATTACTATTTAGTTAAGATGACCCGGCATATCCTTGCCTTTTTCCTCAGATCTCACGTCTATGTTCAGTTGATTAGCAAGCGGCAATCTCTTTGCCACTTCAAGAGTGCGTCCTCAATACAGCCGCTCCTCACCACTTGTACAGCAATACTAGTCCTGCAGGGCCTCTGCAGTACCTTCCTAACTGTCTGTCAGCTTCTGTTTTACCTCCCTGAAGGCAGTTAAAGAAATCAGCTAGGGTGAACGTCAGTTATAAATCAGATCATGCCGCCCTTATTTATCTATTTATTTGTTTATTTGTTTATTTTTTCCCTCTCTCGTGCCACCTGGCTTCCTAAGTAAGCACTCTCAACCTTCAGGGTCTCTGCTGTTCCTTTGGCCTGGACCACTTTTCCCCAGGAGTGTATGACTCAGTTTCTCCGTATTCAGAACACATCTCAGCAAAGGGGCCTTCTCCAAACTCCCAGGGTAAAAGAGCACACCACCCTGGTAACCTGCCTTTTCAACTTCATAATAATCTGCATAACTTTACATTATTTTCTGTGTATCTGCCCTCCCCCTGTACTGCCAACAAAAGAATCTTGGTTTGTTTTATTCACTGCTGTAGTGCCGAGGTCAAGGCCTCTCATGTATAGGGATGCAATAACGGATGAAAGTACGAAGTAGGATGACTGGACACTAACTACTTTGCTTACTAGCCATCTTCTAGGTGCTAAGGTTACAAAGATGAAAAAGGAATAGTTCACGCCCTCAGTAACTTATATTCTAATAATATAGTTAGGTTTAAAATCTATAACTGGAGCTTAGAGAGATGGCCTAGTGATTAAATTGGCTGCTCTTCCAGAGGGCCCAAGTTTGAGTTTGAGCATCCACCTGGCAGTTCACAATCAGCTGTATCCCCAGTTCCTGGCCACCTGATGCCCTCTTCTGGCTTCCACGTGCACAGAGATACAGGCAAAATGCCCACACACATTAAATTAAGTCAAATACATAATATAGATCGAGTGTTATAAAGTAAAACATGTTATGACAGAGTAATGCAGACGGTGCAGTAGTGTGCATCTGCACTCTGGAGTAATGCAGACTGGGTGCAGTAGTATGCATCTGCACTCTGGAGTAATGCAGACTGGGTGCAGTAGTGTCCATCTGCACTTCTGCTCTGGAGTAATGCAGACGGTGCAGTAGTGTGCATCTGCACTCTGCTCTGGAGTAATGCAGACGGTGCAGTAGTGTCCATCTGCACTCTGCTCCGGAGTAATGCAGACAGTGCAGTAGTGTGCATCTGCACTCCTGCTCTGGAGTAATGCAGACGGTGCAGTAGTGTGCATCTGCACTCTGCTCTGGAGGCAGAGGCTGGAAGGTTACTTTCTCCTTGTTTGTCACACAGGGTCCTACTACTGATCCCCCTGTTTCCTTGTCTCAAGTGCTGGGATTACATGTATGGGCCACCACACTCAAGCTATGAGACATCATTTAAAAATAAAAGCAGAGCCAGGTGTAGTAGTGCCTTTAATCTCAGCACTCAGTTAACGCGGAGTTCAAGGCCAGCCTGGCTACTGACCAGTTAGTTTTACTTACCAACAAGAGAAACATATACAGAAGGACATCCCCCATCAGTTTCTCTGTGTAGTCCTGGCTGTCCTCGATCTCGCTCTATAGACCAGGCTGGCCTCAAACTTACAGAGATCCACCTGCCTCTGCCTCCCCGTGCTGGAACTAAAGGCGTGCGCCACCCCTGCACTTAGTCTGTGCACCACTTTTGTGCAAAGGCAAAAGAGCCAGAAGAGGACATCATCTCCTGGAACTAGATTTTGTTAGCCACCATGTTGGCTGTTGGGATTTGAACCTGAATCCTCTGGAAGATTGATTAGTGCTCCTAACTGCTGAGCCATATATTCAGTTCCGATCATTTTGATTTTAAGTATGGGATGGGAAAGTATTGAATGTTTTGGGTAGGGGACTATGACCTGACTTACATTTTAAAAGACAGTCTAGCTGTCTTAAGTTTGATTGCATCAGGGCACTAATGGAAATAGACAAACGAGCTGTATTTGTTGCTTTCCTAATTGCTGGACAAATTATGTGACCAACGAAACTTAAGCAAGGGTTAGTTTCAGCTTATAGTTTGA